TATTATTAAAACCTAATTTGATTTAATTCATCCCTATGTAAGGGAGAGCAAATTTTAGAAAAATTAAAAAAAAAACCTAATTGCGTTTTACGTAAAAATGAGTTGGCCCATTTTCAAAACATTATTGAAATGTCTCAAGAAACCATTAAGAATAAGAAATAAGCTCTCTCAAATGTCATGTGAAGAATAGGAAGGTCAACACATCCTTCACCTCTGAGACAGACACATATGACACATACAAGGACATTTTTTGTCTCTTCTCTTCTCTTTAACTGACACAGAGTTTCCAGGTCAGAACTGGTTTGTAAACAATGTAATCCTGAAGAATCAACACAGAAGAACAGAAACTGGAGGATGGATAGATGGGTGGAAGGGTCAAATATTGTCAAATTGCTTTCCTGTCCCTGTGATTCCCTGAGCTCCAAAAGTCTGTTTTTATTAACCCAGTTTCAGTCCAATTATCTTTTTAATTGTTCAAATTTACCCTTGGCTAGAATATCCAAAAGCTTTAATTTCTTTCTAAAATTACCTCATTTTTTGTGTCCTTAGAAGCACATGTAGACATGTGGCTATGTTAGGAGCAGAGAGAAAGGCAAGATTTGAGTAAGTAATCTTTAAAAGATCTGCAGGAACATAGAATCGTCTGTCTTCAAATGGCCCTAATGTTATAAACATCAATGAGGCCAGCACAAGCCAAGTGCAGGTGCCTGATCACGTGCTCCTGATGACATGAAAGGTCAGAGCACAGCAAGTCAGCCTGTACCTTACTTATGGTCAGACTCTGCATTTGGAAACAATACTTAGTACCTTTAGTGTCCACTTTCATTGACTAGATTTTTACTTACAAACCTATGCTAATTTTAACAAGTAAAATCATACTAAAATATATAGCAAAAAGATTAATAATCTCTCTCTTCATTCCCTCCACTCTCACTCCCCAGCCACCACTTCCCAACCCTTCCATTTCAAATCAACACTTTGATTGCCAATCAAGCCAAGAGCTCAAGAGCACCTGCTAGTGTCCTGTGGTGCAGGCTGGAATTTAGGGAAGAAGCAAAGCAGTTGCAGGGGCAACTGTGGATAGACAAGCCTGGGCAGAGTGCACCTGCACACACTGTGGGGCTATGCTCCAGAAAAGGGAACCCTGTCTCCCTATGACTTCATTTTTATGGGGCAAGTATTGGGATGCTCTTGCAAATGGAGCAAAATCATCCAAGGTTGGTGTGCCAAAAAGGTAAGCATGGGTGCCAGCTGTTTTTAGGATTCAAGGACCATGATTTGGATTCTAACACCTGATAGCCTTGTGAGAAATTGAGAAGGAATACAGATCCTCTCTTCTCCATGGAAACGAGAAGTCCCTGGCCCAGCTACCTCATCTCCAACAACACAAAGTGTGACTCGGGAGCCAAAGATCCAAGAATTCAGTCTGTCTCTCCAGTGTAACTTACATTAAAATCTTTCTTTGTGTTTATCTACATAATGTATATCTATATAGTCTATGTATTTGTAGATATATATGTGTATATCTGTGTATTTATATATCGTCCATATATATCTGTATGATATATCTATGTAACACACACAACACAAAAGGTTTTTAAATATTATTAAAATGTGAAAATGGGATTATACTAAAGCTATAATTAGGCAGCCTATTTTTCTTATTTACTGTATCTTGAATTTCCCTGGATAAAGTTGAAAAAATAAGGGCCATGAAGAGACAATGAGTCATCTATTACTAGGAACTAGTTAGTGGCTGGGCAGAATTGAAATCTTGAAATTTGAAATTGACTATGTAAACCCATAACAAACTCCTGGTGCATATCAAGATTAACATGTATAGAAGCTCTTCCAAAGAAACTGCCAAATATATTGTGACTATTGAGAAACAATGTTCTACCAACAACTAGTCTCTCTGCTTCTTCCCTTACCTCCCCTCAATATGTCTTCAACATAGCAGCTAGAGTGATGTTGCTAAAGTAGAACACACATCATGCCATTCTACTCAACCTCAATCCCCCCAACTGATTCCCATCTGTACTGTAATAATCATAAAGCTAAGAACTTTGAAGAAAAGTAAAACAGGCTCAGAGATTGGAGAGTGATGGGAGGTAACATTTCAGACAGAGTCATACGAGAAGGCCTCTCTGAATAGGTGATGTTGGAGTCTAAGTCCAGGGAGGAACTGACACTTGCGGCTATGTTAGGAGCAGAGGGAAAGGCAAGATTTGAGTCAGTAATCAATCAATTCCACTACCTCAACAGCCCATTATAATTACAGAAATGTGCTTCTGCACCTGATATAAATGTGAATAGATATGAGGAATACAATACTATGACTAAGTGTCTAGGACATGAAAATAACTTAGACATTTAGCTATAGTATTGTATCCTTCATATCTATTCACCAAAAATGTCACTAAACGAAGACTTTCTATATAGCAGATGCTGTTGACCCTCGTCTCCCTCAGAATAAATGGTGAAGTATTTTCAATGGCATAACAGTCTTTCCACTCTTCCCTGCCTCCCTGCTGCCCTCTCCCCTCCCCAGCTTCATCTCTGATCCTATTTCCTATTACTCTCTCCCTCTGTCATTGAAGTCGGACATTCTGGCCTCCTTGGTGTTCTTGGAACACTCCAGTGATGCTCCAACTTCAGAACTGGTGCCCTTGCATTTTCATGTGCCCAGTATGCCCATTACCCACATGGCTTCTGTGACTCATTCTTTTGACTTCTCCTTGTCTTCACTCAAATGTTGTCTTCTCCTAAGTTCTTTCCTGGCTTGCCTTTCTAAAATTGCCACCCTATCCATCACACCCTTATAATTTTCTTGTCTCTCCATGAGGGCAGAGGTTTTTTGTTGTTGTTGTTGTTGTTGTTTTTAATGTAAAAGTAATGATTTAATGACTATAAGCAAGACAAAGCAATAGAATTGTGCTTCTTTTGCAGACTGGGGACAGTGAAATGTTTAGCTACAATTTTCCCATACAAACATGAAACAATATTCATATAGAATAAACACCCTCACAAATAACTGATGGGTGATGAACACACACCAAGTTCGACCAAAGCAAAAAAACTAAAAATTGTTGGGGTTATTCATATTTTAAATTCAACATGCTTTCCCTATGTAAAAATATCTGTAGAAGCCCATAATAAATAGCTTCTATTTCCAGACAAAGCAGAGAAGGCATATTCCATTGTAAAATAATTGTAAAAGCAACTCTTAAATTTGAAATTACTGCTATACCACATATTAAAATAATTTTAGATAAAATGCCTTCTTCCAACAATTTGCTGGTTTATTTAAAAATTTTAGAATTACAGTGATCAGTATGCAATTTAAAAATACATTAATTCCGGCCGGGCGCGGTGGCTCAAGCCTGTAATCCCAGCACTTTGGGAGGCCGAGGCGGGTGGATCACAAGGTCGAGAGATCGAGACCAACCTGGTCAACATGGTGAAACCCCGTCTCTACTAAAAATACAAAAAATTAGCTGGGCATGGTGGCGCGTGCCTATAATCCCAGCTACTCAGGAGGCTGAGGCAGGAGAATTGCCTGAACCCAGGAGGCGGAGGTTGCGGTGAGCCGAGATCGCGCCATTGCACTCCAGCCTGGGTAACAAGAGCAAAACTCCGTCTCAGGAAAAAAAAAAAAAAAATACATTAATTCCATCACAACCAATGGAAGATTAAGACACTATTTCCATATTTCCCAATTAAAATATTTTCTTTACTGCAACAATTTTTTAAGTAAACATTATTATTGGAGAAAAGTCAGTATTATAAAGATGAGCCAATTGCTTCTAGTGGAATTTAGAATTAGATACCAAATTAAAAATATTCTATGCTGGTAAGCAAGGTTTGACATAGGTTATGGGTATCTACAAAGGTCAAACCAGTTGGGAGAATTTTAATAATCATTTCTGAATGCATGAAACACAATATTTCTTTATAGCATTTATAAATATATCATACAATACTGTTTCCTGTTATGTCATATACCAATATGGCATTGTACAACAAGCATAATGCCATCTGATTCTTACAAAAGCGAATCATTTAAACAAGTCTGTAAAATAAATGGTCGTACCGGCTTTTAGGCATTCAGATTGTAAAACTGAAGTTTGCTTTTCTTTGATTGGTTTTGCATAGCAACAGAGAAGTAAAAATCAAACAGGAATCAAAATGGCTAAATATGCAAGAAATCATTATTCACAGTGACATGGCTACATATAAAACATTATTCTATGCATATTCTTTCCATTGGTTGAATTTCAAGATAAAAAGCACTTGTTTTCTACAGGTTCACAAAACAGCATAATAACAAGAACTATCAAGGAGAATGTAATGTAGGTGTCAGTTGAGATTAACAAACTATGGCCCAATGCTTACGTCCACTTTAGAATATTTCCAAATCCAAACAATGGTTACAGAAGCCATTTTCCATCTTTCCTAACACAGAGAAAAAAGTTTTGCCTGCTTTCCAAGAAACCAATACTTTATAATGACAATCTTTCTTTTTAATTAACATCCATAGCAGTACCACATGTACTCCACCTTTTGTAGCCAAATTTAATGTCACTACAAAAGAAAGCAAATTGGACAATAGTCACATGTATTAGCATCTATAAAGCTGTAATGGCATGAAGCTATCTATATAAATCAGGGGTTTTAAATATTTTTTCCTTAACAGTCTCAGGTATCAACCAGAAGAAGTTGCTGATGACCCATTTACTGATGATTTTCGAGGTCTATTGGCAAAAGAAGATTAGTGGTTACCACTGGGGTGTTACTGGTTCCTTTCATAGTACTGGAAATGTGAGGAAACTGTGGATGAGGAGACTGCATTAGAGTACTGGAGCTAGGCAAACAAGAAGAGGTGGAGGGACTACCTCCTGCTGGGCTGTTGGCCTCGTCACCCCCAGAGTCACTTTCCAGTTCTCCAGCATTTGTCAGTCCATCAAACTCTGTATTTCAAAGGAAGTGGACCATTCCTTCTCTAGGTATAAATGTAGGCAATTTCCATTAGAGTGTAATAATCCTTTAAAGGTTCCTCCTCATACATGACATCAATCTGGAAAATATTTGGTATGTCCATTTTACCTCTGAGAAACTTTCTTAAGTGCATCACAGTCATTGCTGCTGGGCTTCGTAAATATCTTTTATCATTCACCTCCTCTTTAGATTTCTCTTTGTCTTTGTTTACTTTCCGATCCAATCTGTTCTGGTCAAAGAATTCAATGGATAAGCTTATTATCTCATCATCAGTTATAATTCTCTTATCTTCATCTGCAACCTCTCCTCTGTCTTCATTAGAACCATTGGCAGCATCAGCGGAAGGATGAGCTGCATAAAAATCCCTTCTTCTCTTCATTTCCTTTTTGAAAATCCCTGGAACTAATTTGTATAGCCCATCTTGAAGAGTTTTATCTGACCTTATATTCAGTAGTGGTCTGATTTTGAGAACTTGGACGTCACAAACAGGACAATACTTGCTGGTCTCCAGGTAACGAACAATACACGTTTTACAGAAGGAATGTAGACATTCTATTATAGTTGTGGCATCAACGAAGTACCCTCCACAAAGCACACACATCAGGTGCGGATTTAGTTCAGTGATCTTGATTCTGGCTGTTCGATGCGTTTCTGCTTGATAAAAGGTCCCGGCGCGAGGCGATCGAAGCGGGCGGAAAAGACAATAAAGTTAAAAGTCGTTCAGCAGAAAATGAATGCAAGCCAAGCGGCCACCTGGAAGCCAGCTGCAGACGCCGCTGTCAGTGGGCAACCAGCGCGGCCCCGGGCAGCCGTGCCCGCCGCGCCCGCCTCGTGCCACCTCCGGCCGGCCTCCTCCTGCTCCGGCACCTCGGCCTCCTCCTCCGACTCGAGGGCAGAGATTTTTGTTTGTTTTGCTCCTGCTGTGTTGCCAGCCCCTAGGACAGTGCCAGGCAACATGATATGCACTCTATAGCCCCTTGTTGAATGAATAAATAAATCTTCGACAACTTTACTCAACAAAATGACCAGTTTTTCAACAGTGCTTAGCACTCCAGTGAGTCACCAGAGCCACAGAGACTCAAAGCCATTTTTTTTCCAGAAAAAAAGTATCCCAAGTGACAGGAGAGTTAACCCTAGGCTTAATCTAGGACAGAGCAATGCATTGTGCATTTCCTGTATCAGAGATAGCCAGGATCCAGGGAGGTTTCAAGGTTCAGATGTTAAGCCAGTCAAATCGTCAGAGGGGGACCAAGAAAAGAACAGACAAAGTCCTTGTGCTGAGTGGTGCTCAGGTGAAGGGCTGCATAAGTCTTACTAGAGAGAAATTGCCTCTATGAGACTTCTTAGAGGATGGACATTGTTATTGTGCTGACCCTAATGGAGCCGTTTAAGAACTTCCATCATGGGGGGGTTCATACCTGCTCTTTTCTCTTCTTCCTCATGCTTTACAGTTAGCATTCTCTCAACTTGTCCTTCTCAGGAAACATGCTGCCCTTCTTGTGGAAGGGTAGGCAGGACCTGTTCATGTTTACTGGAATGTGAACAGAGTAGAACCTGGTAACCCCATTGCTTCACCACAGCCAGTTGGGAAATTGGTCCCACCCCCGCACTGAGGGAATCCTTTGAGAACCTTCATTCTTCTGTTACCATCCTGCGGCACATCAAACACTCCGTGGTGTTCAATAAATGCTGGCTCATGAGCTAATGATCTAATTATTAATGACTCTGGTCAATGTAGAGCCTTTACTCCAGAGTTATTTGCAAGACTGTGGGCATTGTACCTTGTTGGTAATTAGATTATGCCCTAGGGATCTCTGGATGAAAGTAGACCTGTCTCAAATGTTATGTGTCAGAATTCTAATTATAAAAATCCATAATTGGTTGCCTCTTTAAGAACAATGAGAATAATGGCTTGTCTGCGCCAAGAAGGATCTACAAGAGGAACACAAACAAGAAAGTGTTGCTGTAGGGAAGTGAGATGTTTAAATGTCTTGGGGAAACCTGGTGCTATGGTGCCCTGGACTAAACCCTGCAAATGCAAAAACCAAGCTGGGAGCAAGGCTCATCGATGCTTATGCAAAAACTCTCAAGGAAAGCATTCTAAATCCTGAATCTAATGTTGGCTCCCCGGGATGCTGGGGAAGTTTGAGAATAATCACCTGTGACACTCAGGCTTCCCTTGAGCCACAATTTTAGACCACTGACCTTAGTTCTGAGCTGGATGGATGCCAAAATTGAATTTCCTTTCCTAGCTGTCTCTCAAGTCAGTTGGCAATATTTGCTTTGAGTTCTTTTTCCAACTTACACAGAATTAAGGTAGGGTCATTTTGAAGTCTTTCCTCCTTTGGGCTGGAAGTGTTGAGGAAAGCAATGTATGCTGTTTAGGTCCCAGGTGACACCTTTTTGTTCGTGTGTCTGCTTTGTTTTCTGCTTCCTTTGAAGGCCTGTCCACTTTGTCTACATAAAGTCTATATTAGGGTGCACATCAATTCCAGAAGCATTTATTGCCTAATCGCCATCGGTTGAGTCCTCTGTTAAATGCTGAAGGTGGTGAGGCTAGGAGAGGAGGTGTAGAGCTTACAGAGGACGTGTGTGATGGAGGAAAGAACACAGGCTCTGGAGTGAGACTCTGGCTTTTAATCCTGGCCTCATTACAGATCAGCAGTGAGAACTTGGGCAGGTTATATACACACAGTAAGCCTCTGTTTCCCCAACTAGAAAACTGGAGTAATAATTCCAAATCTGAGAGAATTATACTTGTAAACAGATTCAAAATTATATATATTTTTATGATTGCATAAAATATAATAGTAAAGAGCCACAAATGCAACACATAAGGATAAAATAAGTTATCATTTTTTTCAATATATTGTTAGTCCTTAATCTCTAGAAGCTGACAGTTGAGACAGGAAAATAAACCTCATATGCATGAAACAAGTAGAGAATAGCAGAGGACAAATGATCAGATTCGAAAACAGAAGGAAAGAAGGCACAAGTTTCAAAATACATGTGTAAGGTAATAAGTGCTATGAGCAATAAGAAATCACATCATAATTTCTGCCTAGTGAGTTTTTTTCCAATCATCTATCATCCAAGCCTCAGTACTTATATAATTAGAAAATGCAGGGTGTTTGTTCTCTCTTGGGTAAGCATGTCTAATTTAAATTCCATTGCATTCCAGATCACATGAAATCAACATATAAATGAAAAGCTGTTTACATTTCTGAGATGAGATGGAACTTTTGACTTTTCTACTTGAAGAAACAGTATCACTGTCACTCTGCTAAAAACTCAAAAAGAAAAGGTTTTTTCCTCCCCCTCTCATTGACCATAAAGTCAAAAAGACAGGGAGAACTATGCCTCAAGTTTGATTAAGGAACAGTCTGATTTGTTAATAAAATTGCTATCAGTAGTTAAAATAATGTATATGCATGTATATATAATATGTAAATGTAATAACATACATGTATCTGTACATAGGTAACATACTTATATAACAGTAATATATATTTGTAATAGTAATATATAATAATGTATATATAAAAGTAATATGTGCATGTATGCATATATAATAGTATGATCACGTACCAACTATCATCAATAACCAATCTAAACTCCACACTGTAACTTTCTGCACATGTGAGGTCTCTTAAGGTCAGTGAGCCTCTAAATGTATAAATAGCATGTGTGAGGCCCCACCTATGGTTGTTAGAGCTCCAGGAAACAGGTGGCATGTGAGTCAAATTAAGATATTTAAGGCACAACTGTCCCCCATAAAGTGAACATTTTTAGTTTTCTGACTTGAAGATGTGGATATTTTCAACCTTTTAATTCTAGGCTGCCTTACTCTCATCTCCATGGTGCAGCACACACCCCATGAATAAGGCCTGTTTCATCCAAGAAAAACAACCCTTGACCATCCACTTCCTCATATCTCACCTGGGGCAAACCAGTTGGCCTATCTTTGGCTGACTTCAACAAATCAAACTGTGCACAATGGTCATTGTGCATACTGAAAGACCTAAAATGTTCATTAAAAAACTAATTCAAACTTAATAACACTACCCTACCTGAGGTAAACTCTTAAAACCAGTTTCTGGTCAATGAGATGCCTGTGTCAAATGGTTTTTTAATCAAATTCTTTCCATATCCTGCTAACAGAGCTTGATGAGTTTAATTAATGATCATTTTGAATTCTTTCATGAAGACAGGGTTTTTTTTTTCTAAAGCACTTATGATTCCAGGAATTTTTTTTTTTTTTGAGACAGGGTCTTGCTCTATTGTGCAAACAGTGGTGTGATCACAGCTCCTTGAGGCCTCAACCTTCCAGGCTCAAGTGAACCTCCTGTCTCAGCCTCAAGTAGCTGGGACTACAGGCATGCACCACCATGCCTGGCTAATTTTTTGTAATTTTTGGAGAGGCAGGGTTTTGTCATGTTGCCTAGGCTGACCTCGAACTCCTGGGCTCAAGCTGTCCACCCACCTCGACCTCCAAATGTGCTGGGATTACAGTCATGAGCCACCGCGCCTGACCCAATGCCAGGATTTTAAATAGAAAATTTCCCTTCCAGGCAGCTTTGACAAATCATACATTTTTTTTCCTTCTAAGATGAGCTTATGTTGGCTGTGATCTCAATCCCACTGATACAGTGCTCCTTTTTTAAGGACACAGATTAATTGGAGGTGGGGAAAAGTGTCGGTATGTAAAGGAAAAACATTTTCTTTTTATATAATTATTGAGTAATTTGGAAGGCATTGTAGAAATCATCCAGATCTCTGTAAAATCCATGGGCTAGATTGAATTTCCTTTGTGTTTCCTCCAGCTTTAGTGTTCGATGAACACCAAAAGCTGTCATTCACTCAACTTCGAACTCCTGCTGAACAGTCACCAGGTCTTACTCGTCTTCATATTTCCAAAGCCCTTTACAAGGCCTGGCACACAGTAGGCCCTCATTACTTGTTTGTTAATGAATGAATAAATCATCCTATATGCTTTGTATGCTTCATTTCAGTGCTTTCTGACTATAGCAAGAATCCTATGTTGCCATTCATGGCTCATGATTCTGTTCTTCAGCATCACAAAATCAGACCATAGAATTTTCCTATTTCATGTTTTATTCTGTGGCTGTAGGGTACAAACACTATTTATCAGTGCCAATAATTTTGTTGAAGTGGATCTGTTCATTCATTTAATAAATATATACAGAGGCCAGGCACAGTGGCTCAAGCCTGTAATCCCAGCACTTTGGGAGGCCGAGGCAGGTGGATCACGAGGTCAAGAGATGGAGACCATCCTGGTCAACATGGGAAAACCCTGTCTCTACTAAAAATACAAAAAATTAGCTGGGCATGGTGGTGTGTGCCTGTAATCCCAGCTACTCAGGAGGCTGAGGCAGGAGAATTGCCTGAACCCAGGAGGCGGAGGTTGTGGCAAGCCGGGATCGCGCCATTGCACTCCAGCCTGGGTAACAAGAGCGAAACTCCATCTCAAAAAATAATAATAATAATAAATAAAATAAATATATACAGAACACCTACTGGGCACCTGTGTTGCAATGCTGAACAAGGCAAAGTTTCCTATATCAAGGAACTTGTATATTGAAGAAGACAGGCAAGTAAACATAATAGTATGAGAGCTATAAAGGATAAGTA